GGGTTATGACCTACAGTTAATCACGCACATAAAATCATTTCCCCAAAGAATCACTTTACTCTTTCACTCTGGAGCCTTGTTGCTTTATTCAATTTTTGTTGACTTCCCTCATTTGAGCTCATTTGATGTGCAACACATAGTTTACCGTCACCGTTATCAACCATCAAAAATAAACTTTGGCGAAAACGTAAATCTTGCACGCACAAACTTTTCAATTGACACAATTTTGTCAACTTCAGAGTGCATAAAGTAATGTTGCCATTTGATGTAATCATTGTCGTAAAAAGCAACAGCATAAAATCAATTATGTAACACAAGCAAATAGCTAACGAACTAAATTGAATGATGAAACAAAAACTTCAACTTCAGCTTTCGTTCGCTTTGTTTTATATTGGTTTCCTTCTCTTTTGGTTACTTTCTAGCTGAATTTTCGTCTCCCTCTTCTCTACGCGGTTTTCTCTATCACTTTCTCTTATGATCTCTTCTGCTATCTCTCGCTCATTATATCGCACTCTCTATCAAATCATCGTCTTTATCCTCATTTTCGCTCTATCATATTGCATTAATTATGCAAAACACTCAACGATACCAAGAAAATGAACAACCAGAAGAGGTATATTCGGTATTTTCGTCATTTATTCATCTCATATGCAGTTGCGCTTCAATGTGATGCAAACATCGCGCGGTTAAATCATTCCATGCACACGCACAGCCAATTCATTGTCATCATTGACATTATTATCACTTAACAAATTTCGAAACAAACAGCGAATTTTCACAATGCAATTTATTCATCGAATAACATAACTTATGTTGACTCGACGTTGGAATGGATTATGTCGTTCATCGTCACGCCACGCGGCATCTTTCAATTAATAATTCAAGACAGTCTGAACGAACAAAAACAATTGAATTCCATTTGAATTTTCCCTTTTTTTGGTGAAAAATAAAATGAATATCGCCTAGACTACACGGAGACAAACAAGTTAAGCCTTTTTTTCCACGAAAATCAGATTTATTTATTTAATATTAAATCAAGTTTAATTAATTTGAGCAGCAAGCATTACATGGAGAGACTAAATTGGATTTCACATCATTTTTCCATGGTGAAATGTATTAGAAGAAAATTATTGCATTGTTTCGAATTTACCTTTAAAAATGGCACGAAAACTCAAATTCAGAGATAGCTTCTCCCATTGGGTATAGATTTGACTTTGAAGTTTCGAAGTTACTTTCCATATATTTCCCACTTTGTGATGTGAATTAAACTTTTTTTTCGCTTCCCTTCGTCCAGACCCCCTTACCCTCCTCTCAGATTGCAAAACGTTTTGAAATAAAATGTCTTACATCCGTAAGATGAACTTTTCCGCACTGTGATCCACGACATGAAAGAAAACTAAATCTGACATTAGTTTTAGATAAAAATAATTTTCGAAGCACTTTTCTTACAAAAACTACTAAAGATGGGAATTTTTGTATCGGAGCCATGCCTATATGATATCGTAATCATGTGAAAATTTGCAGAGGTTATTTTTTTCACAAAAAGTTAACATTCTGAAAGTTTGAAGAAATTTCAATGCATATTAAGGGTACTTCCCATACAAAATTTCGTTTTATAGCGAAAAATCCAAAATATTGTTCGGGAGGTGCCCCTAATATTCGTTGAAATGTCTTCAAACTCTCGGAATAGTATTTATGTGTGATAAAAATAACCTGTGCAAAGTTTCAGCTCATTACGATATCATACAGGCATGGCTTCCATACAAAAATCCAAATTTTTTGAATTTTTTGTATGAAAAGTGTTTCGAAAGTTGATTGTATCGCAAAACTAACGTCATATTCGGTTTTCTCGTACCCAAAAACCCTCCAATACACATTTTTGAGTGTTTAAGAATACATTAAATATCACTTTTGGAAGAAAAATTGAATTTTTCCCATGGATGGCCATGGGCATCACACCAGACATGACACTTCACTCTGTCAACCAAAGTCGCTCAAAATCTAATGGTTTCTATTCCTCGGCATCCCCAATCATCCTGTGAAGTCAGATTTTGAATTACTTTTCTTGTTTGAAAGTTATCGTGTTAACAAATTTTTGCGTACAGGGTACAGCGTACAGGGTACAGGCTACAGGGTACAGGGTACGCACATACATTCGGACATCAAAAAAACGCTAGATTCGTGTTCCCTGGCCCCAAAAACACCCAGAAAACACATTTTTTATGAGTGTTAATTTTTCGACCGATTCCAATACTTTACCTTACACACTAGGTGTGTGCGGAAAAGTAAAAAGGTATATACCGTCAATTTCGTAAAGTACCACCATTTTCATGAAACACTTCATCAGTAATGATTGAAAAAACGGGCCAGATGATGATGTAAAGAAAATAAATAGAGATATTTAATGCGGTACACGTGAACTTTGCCAAAATATGAATTTTATTCACGAATCCATTCAAACTAGCATTCAAATTTCATTTGGCGAAACCCATAATTTGCGCATATGTTGCAGCGTTGGTTAAAGCTTCAATTGACTTTCGAGTACTTAGAATCGTCGAGTGTTTTATTGTTATTATGGAATTTTAATGCGCCGTTTTTAATATAGTCGAGTTGCATATGGCAAGGTTTTATGGCAAATAAACGTGAGTCATGCAAATAAAATGTGTGTTTGCGTGTTTGGCGAACATAAAACGCCGATAATATAAAGCGATTGCAATATTAAAATTTAATATTGACAAATTAATAATAATAGAGGCTTTTCTGTTGTCGTTGGCACACAATTTAAGCAGCCATTTCACGTTATCTATTTTTGGTTTTAGTCTCTCGGTGCTCAGCCGTTTCCCGTTGAGTAACAAATGGCATTTGTATATGCATAATAACTTCATTTTACTATGGAAAAATTATCATTTTGAAATAAAGCAGCTTTGCAATTGAAATCGTGCAAATGACCTTTGCCACGTGAATCAGTTGCTTTGTGTATAAATGTTGGAAAAACGCACGGAAATTATGGAATGAAAAATGAACTCAACATATAAACACAAACCCTTTCTCTCTCTCTCTCAAACACACACACGCACAGAGAGAGAGAAGCGGAGAAAATGCGGTCAATGCAGCAATATTTAATTGAAAATCTTTGCTCAACGTACACGAAGCGAAATGGTTTCCAAAGGCTGATGGAGCTTTTTAATCTCATTGCATTCGTTCGTTTGAGTGGTTTAAAATTATGTGCAAACTCATTGAGACCGAGCACCATCACTATTCATCACTTACAAGTGCTACTTGTCTCCAAAAATGAATGCAAGAGGGAGGACATGAATGGAGTTGTTTCGACTCCTGTTGATTTTTTTGCTAACACTTTCTCGACCATTTCTGCAGGCGAAAACTATAAGAAAGTCCTTTCCTTATTCTTCATTTAGTTCTCTCAATTTTTCTTTCTCTTCCTTCTGCCCACTTTGCCCCTTTTTCACATTCTTTCTCTTTCTCTCTCTCTCTATCTTTCGTTCTCTCCTTTTTTCTTCCTCTCTCTCCCTCTTGCCCAATCTTCATCTCTCTCATTCTCACCCCGTTCGCCAATTTCCCATACGTCATAACATGCACCGTCCATCGGCATTCACACACACCACCAGAAAACAATAGGAAGCCAAGATTGCAATTGGATATTGTAGCCAAGATAACAATGGAACTAAAGAACGGAGATATCAATGTAAATGGTGTATACCATGCGAAAAGTAAAATGCAATAACTGAACGGACTGTCGCTTGCCATCAACACAATGGCGCAATAAAAAATGGAACATAGAGTGTGCCATTCGTTCACCTGTTCGTTATTTATACAGAAAGAGTGTCAGGATGCTAAATATCCAACTGTTTGTCTCTCCCTCAATTCGCTTGCATGATTCGAGTTTCATAATGACGACATTTTCTCTCTCTTTCTCTCTTTCATTGTTCGCTGATGACGATGAATTTTTGTTATTGTTTCAATAAAGTCGTGACTTGTTGGTTGAACAAGAAACAGCTGCACGACTCGTTCATTTCACTGCAACCCACGAGCGTCGCTCAACAATCGCGTAACAAATCATTCGTAGACATTTTTTTTCATCCATTGAAAACGTTTCGTATTTTTCTCGGCGTTGCCGCTGTGTGTTTCTCATACAGTCAATTATTTGCGTCATTCTTTTTACTCCAACTCAAAATCAAGATGAATGACTGCACTTGAATTCACTTTGTCTACGTCGAATCACATTCTACAAACCATTCTTTGATATGTAAAGAACTCAACAACACATTTCCAACTGATTCAAGTGGATTCGAGTGGATTTATTCAAATTAATGGAACGAAAAATGAAAAGAAAAACACTCACTATGGATTTGAACGGATGGGGTCATGGTATGGTACGGAATAATAAATTTATTCAAAAGAATATTTAAACGCACAATTGAAAATTAAAATAAGAAATTAGAAGAAATACAATTTTTCATTCGCGATCGTGACCAAATGAAGACGAAGTTTCAAATGCTGCATTAACACTCAATTTAGATTAATGACAGAAGAAAAGAGCGACTTTTCAATGGTAAAGCTTTTCAGTATTTTTGTGGTTGGGTTTCGTGACTTTTTTCGATTTTGTCATTTTTTTCCTTTTTTATTTACATTTTTTATCGATAGCCAATCTTTAATTGTCCCCTTTTTCGAGTTTTCGGTTCTTTTTATTTAATTTTCGGCGTTCTTTTGGAGTTCGACTCTTTTTTGGTTGTTATTCGTTTTTTTTCTGACAATAATGAAAGAATAATAAGAAAACCAACGCACAAAACATGGAAATCACATAGAATGTCTAAGCCGACCCAAAAATGTGACGTTGATATATTTTCCACTATGTTCAACGAGTTCAGTGGAACCTTCCTCAAAATAGAGGGTTCAATTTCGATTTGGCATTGCCGAATCGAATCGAAACTCTGATTCAATTAGCACCCAACTAACACTCAAATTGTATTTTCCATTCGCAGGCACATGAGTTTACAAAATGAATTGGAGAATAATCGCGATGGAAATAATCGAGTTGGTTCGCCAATTCTGCCACAAAACAATGTCAATAACAGCAGTAATCAAATGACGACGACGACGACGACGATGACAATCGAAACCGCCAATATAACAAATAAATCAAACGATGACAAATCCACACCGAATCATAATGTGTCAGCAACGGAAAATGTGGAAAAATCAAGTGCAATTGATGGTGCTAAACAGCAGGTATCCAAAATTGATGCTGATGTGAAAATCAGTGCAACAGATGATGAAAGTGATGATGTGCATAGTGAACTTGATATAGATGTGGCACAAAGTGCATGTGATAAGCAAAAAATGCATGTTAAATGTGATGGAAATGATGATGGTGTCGATAGTGAAAACAATAGTAGCTCATCGAATAGTCCAAGTGCAAGTGATAGGGTTTTTAAAGTGGCCACCAAACAAAATATATCGAAACCAAATTTGGCCAATTTGCATAGTGGCGGTCGATTAAATGCACCGCCACCAACCGTTGTACCATTGTCATCACCACCGAATGTGCCCATGTTTGTAAATCGTTTTCCCAATACACATCCCACATATCTTCCGCCGCATATCCGCAATTTACCCAAAACTCAATCGCTCGATTTGGCCGACAATGAAATGCCATCGGCTTTGCTCACCGCCAAACAGTGTGACGGCGGTTCGTTTGAACAAAATCGTCCAATTTATCCAAATGTTCCGTATAGTCCGTATGGAAGTCCGTTTGGATCACCGCGCAATCGACGAAGAGGACCATTGCGTGAGTCACGTCGCATTTCCATCGAACAAAGTGGCAGCTTTCTTCAACTGAATCAATACAAACTTATGGACCAAATTGGACAGGTAAAATGGAAAAGGGAATTTTAAATGTTACCCAATTTTTGACCGTTTTTCATCGATAACAGGGCTCATATGGTTTGGTGAAATTAGCATATTCCGAAGAAGACTCAACGCATTATGCCATGAAAATTCTATCGAAACGTAAACTTTTGCGGAAGGCCGGTCTTATGGGGCGAGGACCAAAGAAAGGAATGTCGCCACTCGACCGGGTCTATCGGGAAATTGCGGTTTTGAAGAAGGTAATTTCGAATTAAAATCTTTTCAATTAAAAACTATTTCCATTTCGCAAACATTTTCCAGTTGGACCATCCGAATGTTGTGAAATTAGTGGAAGTTCTCGATGATCCATTGGAAGATTCATTGTATTTGGTGTTTGAGCTTTTGCAATTGGGTGAAGTGCTAAGTGTGCCCACATCAAAACCATTAACCGAAGAACGAGTTTGGTCGGTGTTGCGAGATTGCGTGCTAGGACTTGAATACTGTAAGTACATATCCACTTCAACTCCTGCCATCTGCTTCTGTGAACAAATAAACGACTCGTTGCTCTCTCTCTCTTTTCATTCTTTGAAACTTGAAAAGAATTTCGTTGCGTATAAATATCTTGTTTTTCTTCTTTTTGTTGAACATTCTTCTTTTTTTACCGTTTTAAGCTCTTACACGGCACAAACATAAAGAAACCAACACATATTTCTTACATTTTCAAAGAAACTCTTTTTTCGATTCCATGGAGAAGAAATGTTTCGATGCCATTGAATTCTTGAACGTAAACGTTATTACTTTTCCGCACACCTAGTGTGTGAAAGGATTTTATTTCGCAGTTCCATGAATTTCATTCAAGTTTATTTCCTTTATTTCTATCGATTCGTCACTCTTTTTTAGAAAATCGATATCTTTTCTCAACAACCTCAGACATTGACGCATATTGTATACGTGAATGAACATTTTACACATTTTTTTTGTATCATCGTTTGCAGTACATTATCAACGCATCATCCACGGAGACATCAAGCCGGATAATTTGCTGTTGGGCGAATGCGGAAGTGTTAAAATCGCTGATTTGGGTGTATGCAATGAATTTATGGGCGAAGATGCATCGATGAACAACGGATCGACGGCAGGCACGCCAGCATTTCGAGCACCGGAAACTCTGCTGACTGGACAGGTATTCTTTTTATGAATAATTTCTTCAAAAACAGAGGCGGAAATTTTTTTGCCGGATTTCGATGGATCGATATTTTTACTTTTCCGTACCCCCCGTGCGGACAAGGTATTTGGCAGTACATTTACAGAAATAATAAACATAGTAGGTTGATTGCTATTCTATGTTTGAGAAATATTGATTGAGCTAAAATTGAAAAGGTCCATTTGGTCATGACTTATTGTGGTTTCAGTGAAAGTCCGCAATAGATACAAAAACCAATCATTTTTTTATCTTCGTAATGTGCTCTTCGTTTTTGCGTTCAAATTTCCTTCGAAATCCTATCGATGATTCACAGAGTTCATCAATGTTTTTTTTTATCCCACAATGGCTCTGTGCCGCATAAAAAATTCTTTTCATGCCATTTCGAATCAAGACGAGGAAGTTTCAATCATCCGAAGTGGTCAAACATCTATTTCAGTCGTTAACTTTTTTTTATTTGGTATTGCTGTGCTCCGAAGAAAAACAGAAGTCACAGAATGAATATTTGATTAGAATTCATTTGCTCGTTATTATTACGTTTGGTACGTGTTTGTGGATAGGCCAATAATCTATACGGAACGTGACATAATCGTTTTAAATGTGTTGTGTAATCAGAAATTGGTGTTTACTTGAATGTGAAAAAAAAAACAATATTCGAAATCGGCTATTATCGGCAAAATATTAATAAAATTCGTAATGAACATGAATTCGCTTAATTTCTCTCTTGTGTATCGAATACACATTGAAATTGATCCCCGGCAATATTTTATTGGATTATAATCACGAGATGGTTTGGCTTCTTGCAGAGGCTAAAAGCAGTACTTAAGACGACAAAAACAGACACCATTCATGACACAACCAATGAATGGTTTGACCACGATAAATTATATTATCGCCTAAGACATAAGACATTTCGAATCGATTTAATGAACTTATTAATTTCATGTTTGTTTGGCAGTATTCGTACAGTGGTAAAGCGGCCGATATTTGGGCACTTGGCGCAACGTTATATTCATTGGTGTTTGGAAATGTTCCATTTATGGCGAACAATGTACCAGCCGTTTATGAAAAAATCAAAAACGATGGACTTACATTCCCATCTGATATTGTGATTAGCGCCGAACTACGCGATTTGATCACGAAAATGCTTGAAAAAGACCCATCGAAACGGATTACATTGCCACAGATTAAGGTGCGTATCGAAAGTTTTGATTTGCTTTGTTTTGGAACATTCCTTTGGTGAAACGATTACACGTGTTTTCATTCATAATGAAACAAAAATATTTATTCTTCACTTTTCCGCACACCTAGTGTCGGAAAGGTATTGCGTATTTATTCGGAAAATACTTACTTAGTCAAAGTATTCTTTTTCAAAGTCGTTTGTGTTGGTGAATTTCAGGAACATCCTTGGGTCACTTGCAATGATGCCCATCCGTTGCCAAGCGAAGATGACAACTGTCGCTTGGTCGAAGTGAATGACATGGACATAAATACGGTGGTTAAGAGCATTCCAAAATTGGACACACTGATTTTGATCAAAACCATGCTAAAGAAGCACTCATTTCAAAATCCATTCAATAAACCAGTTTCTGGGCGGGCACCACAACGGGGCGGATCGCGGTTGGAACGGTTTACACGAGCTGGACGATCGAATTCAGCACCCGGTGCTTATCATATGATTGAACGGTAAATCAACATTTTTTTATATTTTTCATCGTTTTTGTTCATGTTTAAAAATACTTGTAAAGAGGCATAGCCAATTAAGAGGAAGCTATGAGGACACATTTATTTTTGTAACTTTCGTCTTTTCCCTTCATTTAGACAAATGTCAAGTGATAATATTTTGCCGTCTGTAAGTGAAGGCGTTGTGAGTCCATGCAGTGAAACATCAACCGATGCAGATAATGCGTATTAAAATGTGTGCTCCAAATAAAGCTGCTTAATATGTCAAAGACACAAATTAGCCGTGGCTAGCTTAATATACATTGGATTTATTGCTCATGGCTGTACTGGAGCGAGTCATTCGTCTTGAAATTCAAAACTCTTGAATTGATTGTTAGATTTTCTTAAAGTAAACACGCAATGGTGATATATGCAGCAAGACAAACACAAAACATGCACGAAATATTCGATTTTAATAAACAAATTTAAATATGTAGTAAAATTTCAGCACATAAGTGAGATAAAAACACACAAACACACAAAATGGGATTTTCAAGGGTTAGCTTTTATTCGATTTACTTAACGATAAGCGTCCGCTTTGTTTTTCTTTAACACCCTCTCTGTCTCAATATCTATTTTTGTTCGCACATTGTTTTTATTAGATTGTACATAAAAGAAATTTGTGAAAATTCTTAAAACAAAATTGAAACTAGTCTAGCACAAACTATACTTACATATTTTACATACCATGAAACTAAATTTCAGCTGCAAACAACAACAAGATTGTGTAACACAAATCTATATTAAGATCAAATGCGCTCGCATTTATTTCGAAATCAATTCACTAATTTTTTTTAATATCTTTATGCTTAAAGTTTGTATAAGGAAAAAAAGGAATGAAAAGCTCGAATGTGGAATTCAGACGATGGTGAGAAAATACTTACGATTTGAGGTGATATATTTGCACTCTTCCGATTTAAAGAGGATTACATTTTATCAGCTGTCGAAGGAATGTGAGCATTTGAACACAGTTGGGGTCCATTTTTTTACTATTCCGTACATCTAGTATAGGAAAGGTATTTCGATTGGACTTAACGTCAATAGAGTGTCATTACGATAACAGCTCACACACCGTGTGACACACGTATGACACGTTCACTGTATCAGAGTAGTATTCTCAGAGTACATTGCAATGGATTTGAACATTTTTCTCATCCATTTTGAAAAGAGTTGTACTTTTTCATTTTCTAGAGATTATTTTTAATCTCTTTTGATTTCAAAGGTCGAAATGGCATTTACACCTATTAAATAAAAAAAACACTTTTTATTACTCTAGAAAACACAAACTCTTCAAATTGAAAGAAATTATAATTCTGTTTTTTGACTTTTGACCATTTTCTTGAGGACTGTTTCCCAAATGCATTTACCAACGTTTTATTGGAAGAAGGATATGTTCAATACCATCCTAATGCACTTTGTGTCACTACTCACAAGAACAGTGACATAGACTATCATTCAATGACATTTAGTGCATTTAAAATATGAACAGAACTGTCATGGGATCATTTTTGTTCTAAGTGGCAGTTCTTTGGGTTTAAATATTTTTTCCACATTCGTTTCAGCTTTGAAAGTGTTGAAAAAAAATGTTTAATAATATAAGTAAAATATAAATCCGAATGTCTATTGTACTGTAAATAAACATAATTGACATTGACCAATCCATACGCTTTAAACACAAGAAATTGTATAAATTTTCAATCAATTGAAATGAAAAATGATTTTAACATTTAAGAATTTTGCGCTTGATTCGTCAAATTTACAATAACTATATGCATAGAATAAGAGGACCGAATTTACTCTTTTTCTCTTTGATTGACGGACAGGAGACATTTGCAAAAATGTTTCACATCACGAAAGAACCAGAATATTTTTTACGCTGAGCGCGTGGTTCTGTTTGTTTGAAATCAATGTCCTGTGGTGGAATTTTATTCGTTATTATGACTTAAATTGCATTTTGAAAATGTATTGGTTTAGAGTCTAAACTTAAGACTATGCAATCTTATGGACTTCATTTGAAATTAAACATCGGCGAAAATGAATTTATTCTGAACAAAATCGATTTTAATTCAATAATAAATGAAAAGAATAATTTCAAAATTTTGATCAGCGATTAAAATGTATCTATTTTTTCGATAAACATTTTTTTTATTTTAATTTGAGAATTCTTGCATGAAAAATCTTGAAATTATCGAATATTTAAAAAAAACTGACACTAGTCCAAAATTTCGATTTAAAACTATTTGGATTTTTCAATGAATAGCTTCGCATACAGTGAATGCAAGAGTATTTACAATCAATTTCAAATCATTCAACAAAACAAATACACAGTTTTTCAAGAATCAAATCACATTTAGATTTTTTTAATAAAAGTACTTTCATAATTAGCACCGCATTTTCGATTCTCTTCCATCACATTTTTTTAAACTTTTCCAATTTACTTCCTCTTTGATCAACATTTTTTATAGTTTCTCTCCTATTTTATGGCATTCTCTACTATTTGAAATAGACGAATTTTAACGAAAATGCTACACAGAGGGGAAATTGGAGGCAAAGTTTAATTGCCGGTAGGCGGCGGAATATTGAAGAAGTTTCCATTTGGATAAGAATGAACTTCTTCTAACGCGGTGCAGACTAAGTCTAGTTTTCAGGAAAATCACTAGTTCACTTGTTCAGTCTCTATAAAAAACAGAGGATGTCATACGGCTTGCTATAAGCAGCTTGCTTGCCTGCGTCGCCTATCATGCGGCAAGCAAGCAAACATGCGGACACATATACGGCAAACGAACCATATGTACCAAACAGTTTTCGTTCGTGCGAGATGCGGTATCTGTGAAGACGTATTGGTCGCACGTACAAAAACCGTGTAGTAGATATGGTTTGTTTGCCGTATATGTGTCCGCATGTTTGCTTGCTTGCCGCATGATAG